GGGTAGTGTTGAGTCTATGGGCAGTGTTAGTCTATGGGCAGTGTTAGTCTATGGGTAGTGTTGAGTCTATGGGTAGTGTTGAGTCTATGGGCAGTGTAAGTCTATGGGCAGTGTTGAGTCTATGGGTAGTGTTGAGTCTATGGGTAGTGTTGAGTCTATGGGCAGTGTTGAGTCTATGGGTAGTGTTGAGTATATGGGTAGTGTTGAGTCTATGGGTAGTGTTGAGTCTATGGGTAGTGTAAGTCTATGGGCAGTGTTGAGTCTATGGGTAGTGTTGAGTCTATGGGTAGTGTAAGTCTATGGGCAGTGTTGAGTCTATGGGCAGTGTTGAGTCTATGGGCAGTGTTGAGTCTATGGGTAGTGTTGAGTCTATGGGTAGTGTTGAGTCTATGGGCAGTGTTGAGTCTATGGGTAGTGTTGAGTCTATGGGTAGTGTTGAGTCTATGGGTAGTGTTGAGTCTATGGGTAGTGTTGAGTCTATGGGCAGTGTTGAGTCTATGGGCAGTGTTGAGTCTATGGGTAGTGTTGAGTCTATGGGTAGTGTTAAGTCTATGGGCAGTGTTAGTCTATGGGTAGTGTAAGTCTATGGGTAGTGTTGAGTCTATGGGTAGTGTTGAGTCTATGGGCAGTGTTAGTCTATGGGTAGTGTAAGTCTATGGGTAGTGTTAAGTCTATGGGCAGTGTTAGTCTATGGGTAGTGTAAGTCTATGGGTAGTGTTGAGTCTATGGGCAGTGTTAGTCTATGGGTAGTGTAAGTCTATGGGTAGTGTTAAGTCTATGGGCAGTGTTGAGTCTATGGGTAGTGTTAAGTCTATGGGCAGTGTTAGTCTATGGGTAGTGTTGAGTCTATGGGCAGTGTTAGTCTATGGGTAGTGTAAGTCTATGGGCAGTGTTAGTCTATGGGTAGTGTTGAGTCTATGGGCAGTGTTGAGTCTATGGGCAGTGTTGAGTCTATGGGCAGTGTTGAGTCTATGGGCAGTGTTGAGTCTATGGGTAGTGTTAGTCTATGGGTAGTGTTGAGTCTATGGGCAGTGTTGAGTCTATGGGCAGTGTTAGTCTATGGGTAGTGTTAGTCTATGGGTAGTGTTGAGTCTATGGGCAGTGTTAGTCTATGGGTAGTGTTGAGTCTATGGGTAGTGTTGAGTCTATGGGCAGTGTTGAGTCTATGGGTAGTGTTGTGTCTATGGGCAGTGTTGAGTCTATGGGCAGTGTTAGTCTATGGGTAGTGTTAGTCTATGGGTAGTGTTAGTCTATGGGTAGTGTAAGTCTATGGGCAGTGTTGAGTCTATGGGTAGTGTTGTGTCTATGGGCAGTGTTGTGTCTATGGGCAGTGTAAGTCTATGGGCAGTGTTAGTCTATGGGCAGTGTAAGTCTATGAGCAGTGTTGAGTCTATGGGCAGTGTAAGTCTATGGGCAGTGTAAGTCTATGGGCAGTGTTGAGTCTATGGGCAGTGTTGAGTCTATGGGCAGTGTTGGGTCTATGGGCAGTGTTGAGTCTATGGGCAGTGTTGAGTCTATGGGCAGTGTTGAGTCTATGGGCAGTGTTGAGTCTATGAGCAGTGTTGAGTCTATGGGCAGTGTTGAGTCTATGGGCAGTGTTGAGTCTATGGGCAGTGTTGAGTCTATGGGCAGTGTTGAGTCTATGAGCAGTGTTGAGTCTATGGGCAGTGTTGAGTCTATGGGCAGTGTTGAGTCTATGAGCAGTGTTGAGTCTATGGGCAGTGTTGAGTCTATGAGCAGTATGTTTGTTGAACTTCTTTCGCACTGCACGTAGGTTAACAAAAAAAATCAGTGCTAAATAAATCGGTTGCCTTTGTTCTGCCAAGGGCATAACATCATTCGCGGGCCATACAAAATTAAATTTATGTTGCTATGAAAAAAGCTCCTAGATTTATTGAATTTCCAGTCATGCGGTTGCCTGGGCAGGGCCAGACAAAATGATTTTGCGGGCCTTATACGGCCCCCCGGGCCAGACGTTCACCACCCCGAGCTTATTTAAAAGTGCATATCTCCAATGGCTTCCTCATATCGGAAGGGAAGAGCGTTCCAGACGGCCGCAGAAGCGCATCTGAAAGCACCGCGATGCGGTGACCACCATCTTTGTTCGATGGCTGAGTCAAAAGCTGCTGCTACTGCGAGGGTGATCGGAGTTCGCGTGACGATGGCTTATGTCCCTTGAGGGGACTACAAAGAGGGGTGCAGAACAGGTGGAGGGTTGGGTGGCAGTGGCTAACACATGGGGAATGAAAGCTCTGCACTTGGTAATTCAGGGGGATCTCATGCAATTAACAAGATGGTTGTCCCAGAGGTTCTGGGCCCTGTATTTATATTTTTCAACTGGTTGAATATGTACTATTATTCAGCACTACAACCATCATTGAGTCTGTCACTGCCCGGCTTCTTCCATGTACCCTTCTTCCAAGGGGTGCCACGGTGGCGAGATGTTATCTCCCTCGCCTGCCACGCCTGGAGGTCGTGCGTTCGATCCTGATCCTGACGCACGCTGTATATTTGGAGTTGGCGTGTTCCCCCTATGGTCGCGTGGATTTTTTTCTCCGGTCAAAATCGTAATTAACGAATTTATTTTTCGATTTAAAGCTTTCGTGACTGCAGGGATTCATCTTAAGTCACGTAGAAGGGAAGTAATAAAATAATTAAAATAAAACATAATAAAATAATTCTCACGACGTTTCGGCCACAACGCAAGCAGCCGGCTGCTTGCGTTGTAGCCGAAACGTCGTGAGAATTATTTTATTTTATTATGTTTTATTTTTATTATTTTATTACTTCTCTTCTACGTGACTTTACCGAAAAAACCAAGAAGATGAATTTACTTTTGGCGACTCCGTCCCACCGCGCACATAAACGCCGCGACCCACCTGGCGCTGATCATTCTGTTGTCATGTCGTCCGAGCGCAGCAGCTAGGACGAATGCGCAGAAGAAATACAACTTTGTAACTTTGATCAGCGCATCGTGTAGAGCTCGTCGAGAGGAATAGCTCGCCGTATCGCTCGCCTTCAACAGACGTAAAACGACTTCGCAACGCAGTTCATGCGAGAGCCTGCGGCTTATGTGACCCCGGGGTCACCGCCATCAGGTTCAAATGTCCACATGGCGAGGATGAGCCCCTTCGTTGAGATGTCAGTTGTGGTCAGGTCGCTTCTGCGAAAGAAGCTAATAGCTCGGTGGGCCTTACCTGGTAAAATAAATGAATATACAGGTAGGGATAGGTGCACAGTGATGACATCGCCTTGCTCTATTTGTCTTTATTGTTGTCCTTCCACCGCACCTCCGAGTAGCACGGTTGGCTATGTGCGGTGCGAAAGAAGCTCAAAGTGCGCATGTTGACACGAGGAAACGTCGCGATTTTGCCAGTCGCCTGTTGACGACGACGCTGGTTGCCGTAGTCGCCAGCGACAACGTGAAGCGCCTTTTAGGGGCCGTCATAAATGACGTCACGCTCCTGGGGGAGGGGGGGGGTTAGACATTTGTGACGATGTGTGACAAGGGGGGGGGGGGGGGGGGGGGGGGTTAGAGAAACGTGACGTCACATTAAAATGCGTAACTTTAAATAAACATAGACAATACGTTCTACTTAATGAAATATACTTCGTAATAAATGTTTTCTCCTACAACATCAGAGTGCAGCGCCACATTAAATACGCACTACAATGACAATAGTTTAAAGCGATTTGAAGCATGTTTTATTTTCAAAATGGAGATATGGTTTTGGGGGGGGGGGCAGAGCTTTGTGACGTCATATTTGAGGGGGGGGGGGGTCAAAAATTATCCACAATCGCGTGACGTCATTTATTTATGTTTGTGGGGTTTGCTCTCTGAACACAACCAGGGGTGCTGAAGTGCAAGCGACATTCGCGACGGCGGATACGTTGCGGAGACGCAAATTTTGCGGATGATGATGTTGGCCTACGACAACCCATCTTTTTAATGAATTACGTGAAATAAATACGTAAATAAGCTATTAAATAGATGGAAATTATCATAGGAAACCTCTTCTCGCATCACATTTTCCCTCGTCACTTTATCTCTCATCACTTTATCTCTCGTCACTTTATCTCTCATCACTTTATCTCTCATCACTGTATCTCTCGTCACTTCATCTCTCATCACTTTATCTCTCACCACTTTATCTCTCGTCACTTTATCTCTCATCACTTTATCTCTCATCACTTTATCTCTCATCACTTTATCTCTCGTCACTTTATCTCTCATCACTTTATCTCTCATCACTTTATCTCTCATCACTGTATCTCTCGTCACTTCATCTCTCGTCACTTTATCTCTCGTCACTTTATCTCTCGTCACTTTATCTCTCATCACTTTATCTCTCATCACTTTATCTCTCGTCACTTTATCTCGCTTCGATTTCTTTCCCTCTTGATGCAGCAGTCGTCGTGTAGAGTTCCAGATGCGATTCGCGGAGCGCCTAAATCGCGGACACCAAGTTCGCGCATAACGAGTGAATAGTGTTGCCCCCCACTACGCGACCCCCCCCCCTCTCTTATTTATATAGCGTCTTGTTTCACTGTAGCTCTCTTACCCATTCCAGCAGTTGCTCTGGCTGTGGTGGTCCCGCCTGATGACGAACACTCGTGTTGCGCCCGAAACGTCGTGATTTAATTTATTTTATTTAGTATTTTATTAAAAATTTTTACTTTTATTATTTTTTATTACCTACGTGACTTTACCGAAAGAACCAAAGCGCATGAAGAGTGTCGTAACAAATTGGCACGTTTTGTTCGCGCGGCAAACCCTTGCTTGATCGGCCGCGTCGGGCGGAGGTGGGCAGTAGGACGCGCCTACACTCACGCGACGCGATCCGACACCGCAAAACCGTCAATAATATTGCTCGCCAAAGCCTCCACGTTCAACCGCGCGTCGCGTAGTTCCGAGCGGCTGTTGAGGTGCACGCGTTCATTGCACGATGCCTTTCCCCTGTCCCACCCCCCCCTCTCCCACGTCGCGCGCGCGCGTGCAGGTGTCGTACGTGAAGGCCATCGACATCTGGATGGCCGTATGCCTGCTGTTCGTGTTCTCGGCGCTGCTGGAGTACGCCGCCGTCAACTTCGTGTCTCGCCAGCACAAGGAGATGCTGCGCATTCGCCGCCGCAAGAGGAGGAATCCGGTGAGCGGGGCGGTGGGGGGGGGACGCTGCACCGGGACGCGGGACGCTGGACGGGGCATGGTGGAAAGGGGACGGTGGATATGGGATGGTGGAAAGGGGACGGTGGATATGGGATGGTGGAAAGGGGACGGTGGATATGGGATGGTGGACAGGGGACGGTGGATATGGGATGGTGGAAAGGGGACGGTGGATATGGGGATGGTGGAAAGGGGACGGTGGATATGGGATGGTGGAAAGGGGACGGTGGATATGGGATGGTGGACAGGGGACGGTGGATATGGGATGGTGGAAAGGGGACGGTGGATATGGGATGGTGGACGGGGGATGGTGGAAAGGGGACGGTGGATATGGGATGGTGGATATGGGATGGTGGAAAGGGGACGGTGGATATGGGATGGTGGAAAGGGGACGGTGGATATGGGATGGTGGATATGGGATGGTGGACGGGGCATGGTGGTAAGGGAACGGTGGATATGGGATGGTGGACGGGGGATGGTGGATATGGGATGGTGGATATGGGATGGTGGATAGGGGATGGTGGATGGGGAACGGTGGATATGGGATGGTGGACAGGGGATGGTGGAAAGGGGACGGTGGATATGAGATGGTGGATATGGGATACAGAAAGGGGACGGTGGATATGGGATGGTGGATAGGGGATGGTGGAAAGGGGACGGTGGATATGGGATGGTGGACGGGGAACGGTGGATATGGGATGGTGGATAGGGGATGGTGGAAAGGGGACGGTGGATATGGGATGGTGGATAGGGGATGGTGGATGGGGAACGGTGGATATGGGATGGTGGACAGGGGATGGTGGATAGGGGACGGTGGATATGGGATGGTGGATAGGGGATGGTGGAAAGGGGACGGTGGATATGGGATGGTGGATAGGGGATGGTGGATATGGGATGGTGGACGGGGGATGGTGGATAGGGGATGGTGGATGGGGAACGGTGGATATGGGATGGTGGACGGGGGATGGTGGAAAGGGGACGGTGGATATGGGATGGTGGATATGGGATGGTGGATAGGGGACGGTGGATATGGGATGGTGGATATGGGATGGTGGATAGGGGACGGTGGATATGGGATGGTGGATAGGGGAGGGTGGATATGGGATGGTGGACGGGGGATGGTGGACGGGAGATGGTGGAAAAGGGACGGTGGATATGGGATGGTGGACTGGGGATGGTGGATTGGGAACGGTGGAAAGGGGATGGTGGATATGGGATGGTGGATATGGGATGGTGGATGGGGGATGGTAGAAAGGGGACGGTGGATATGGGATGGTGGACGGGGGATGGTGCGATGGGGAACGGTGGACATGGAACGGTGGACATGGAATGGTGGACATGGGAAGGTGGACATGGGACAGTGGACATGGGACAGTGGATATGGGACGGTGGATGGTGGACGCTAGACGGTGAACTTCGCCGGGATGGTGCTTTGGGTGGCAGATTTTTGTGCCAGAAAAGGCGCCCCCCGTCTTTAAGCAAAAATAAAACGGCTTCTCGACTTCACCGGCATCCCGAGAAGGGGATGGTTCTATCTCGACCCTGACAGCTATATATTTGGAGTTTGCGTGTCTCTCTTCCCGTGATCGTGTGGATTTTTCTCCGGGTCCTCCTGTTTTCCCCTCCGAATTTAGAATCAACATCACGCGTTTAGAGTACTTGGCCGTTATACATTTCCACGCTTTGATAAGCGACTTCGTTGAGTTATCATTTGTGGCCAGGTCGCTTCTGAAAAATAGATATTCAGTAGCTCAGTGGGCCTTAACTGGTAAAATAAAAATGTGCTTGCTTCGTAAAGAATGGAATACCGCCGAAGACGCTGCAAAATAATCGTGGGGAACAGAGACGGACAGTGTCGGGGAGAAACAATCGTGCCGTATGCTTGTGAATATTAAAAACTACAGAGAATTAAGTCGGTAAATGACAGTTTCACCACCAATATTATTCAAAGTAAAGTTTTTTTTGGATTAGATGGCTGAAATATAAATGTGTTGTTAAACCCGCCACCACTCGGCACGGCCAATGAGTAAGGTTCTTCACGTAAACAAAACTTGTAAATGAGTGACTCCTTCAGCACACTGTGTGTTGGGAGAGTAAATCCACGACGAATTAATTTGAGTGCTCGAATCGTAAATGTTGTTTTTTTCCCCGATTTATAATCGGAATCTTTATTTATACTCGAGGAATCCGATGAGCTATGAAGCTCTTTTTCAGAGATGTCCAATAGGGGCGGGTAAGAACGCTACAACAACCACCAGTGTAATAAGTAATATTAAAAAAAAAAAAACTTTCTTAAAAACACGCTTTAATGAAATGTACCGTACTATCTTCTTGGTTCTTTCGGTAAAGTCACGTAGAAGGGAAGTAATAAAATAATAAAAATAAAACATAATAACATAATTCCCCTTCTACGTGACTTTACCGAAAGAACCGAGAAGATGAATCCCTGCAGTCACGAAAGCTTTAAATCGAAATGTACCGTACTAGTAATGGAAGAACTCTACGACTCCAGGAAGTGGCCCCGAAGCTTGGCATAACGTAAGGGGCCCTGGTGATTTACAGCCAACGTGAGTTGAGCGTGGACAATTAGACCCAAGCCGAAACATAACATGTAAAAAGTAATGTTAAAAAATATATGTCATTTATTTTTAATGATAGAATATAGTATTGTCACGAGTATGACATGTGTATACCAAGTTTGCAGTCGATACCACATTGGGAAGTGGGTACAAATTTAATTACAAGATTTGAGGATACAACAACAGACAGAGTGAGTTAATAAAAAAGCGTGTAATAGTAAAAATCACGACGGGAGTGCAAAGTAGAGGAAAGGGAAACACAAATCACTGACAAAAAAAATTTCCAAATAAAATGTTAAATTCTACCTTACCAGGTAAAGCACACTGAGCCACGAGCTTCTTTTGAACCCTGACCTTCTGTTCCAAGTACTTGCCGTATCTTGGGGGCGTTGGGCGTGGGTAGTGAGCGATGTGGGCGACTGTGTGTGTTGAACTGCTGTGTGTGTGTTGAACTGCTGTGTGTGTGTGTTGAACTGCTGTGTGTGTGCGTGTTGAACTGCTGTGTGTGTGCGTGTTGAACTGCTGTGTGTGTGTGTGTTGAACTGATGTGTTGTGTGCGTGTTGAACTGTTGTGTGTGTGTGTTGAACTGCTGTGTGTGTGTGTTGAACTGTTGTGTGTGTGTGTGTGGAACTGCTGTGTGTGTGTGTGTTGAACTGCTGTGTGTGTGTGTGTTGAACTGCTGTGTGTGTGTTGAACTGCTGTGTGTGTGTGTTGAACTGTTTGTGTGTGTGTGTTGAACTGTTGTGTGTGTGTGTGTGTTGAACTGTTGTGTGTGTGTGTTGAACTGCTGTGTGTGTTGAACTGCTGTGTGTGTGTGTGTTGAACTGATGTGTGTGTGTGTGTTGAACTGTTGTGTGTGTGTGTTGAACTGCTGTGTGTGTTGAACTGCTGTGTGTGCGTGTTGAACTGCTGGTGTGTGCGTGTTGAACTGTTGTGTGTGTGTGTTGAACTGCTGTGTGTGTGTGTTGAACTGTTGTGTGTGTGTTGAACTGCTGTGTGTGTGTGTTGAACTGCTGTGTGTGTGTGTTGAACTGCTGTGTGTGTGTGTTGAACTGCTGTGTGTGTGTGTTGAACTGCTGTGTGTGTGTGTGTTGAACTGCTGTGTGTGTGTTGAACTGTTGTGTGTGTGTGTGTGTTGAACTGCTGTGTGTGTGTGTGTTGAACTGCTGTGTGTGTGTGTGTTGAACTGCTGTGTGTGTGTGTTGAACTGCTGTGTGTGTGTTGAACTGCTGTGTGTGTTGAACTGCTGTGTGTGTGTGTTGAACTGTGGTGTGTGTGTGTGTTGAACTGCTGTGTGTGTGTTGAACTGCTGTGTGTGTGTGTTGAACTGCTGTGTGTGTGTGTTGAACTGTGTGTGTGTGTGTGTGTGTGTTGAACTGCTGTGTGTTGAACTGCTGTGTGTGTGTTGAACTGCTCTGTGTGTGTTGAACTGCTGTGTGTGTGTGTGTTGAACTGCTGTGTGTGTGCTGAACTGCTGTGTGTGTGTGTGTGTTGAACTGCTGTGTGTGTGCGTGTTGAAACTGCTGTGTGTGTTGAACTGCTGTGTGTGTGTGTGTGTTGAACTGTGTGTGTGTGTGTGTGTTGAACTGCTGTGTGTGTGTTGAACTGCTGTGTGTGTGTGTGTTGAACTGCTGTGTGTGTGTGTGTGTTGAACTGCTGTGTTGTGTGTGTGTTGAACTGCTGTGTGTATGTTGAACTGGTGTGTGTGTGTGTTGAACTGCTGTGTGTGTTGAACTGCTGTGTGTGTGTGTGTTGAACTGTGTGTGTGTGTGTTGAACTGCTGTGTGTGTGTTGAACTGCTGTGTGTGTGTGTTGAACTACTGTGTGTGTGTGTGTTGAACTGCTGTGTGTGTGTGTTGAACTGCTGTGTTGTGTGTGTGTTGAACTGCTGTGTGTGTGTTGAACTGATGTGTGTGTGTGTGTTGAACTGCTGTGTGTGTTGAACTGCTGTGTGTGTGTGTTGATATACTGTGTGTGTGTTGAACTGCTGTGTGTGTGTTGAGCTACTGTGTGTGTGTTGAACTGGGGTGTGTGTGTGTATGTTGAACGACTGTGTGTGTGTGTTGAACTGCTGTGTGTGTGTGGAACTGGGGTGTGTGTGTGTATGTTGAACTACTGTGTGTGTGTGTTGAACTGCTGTGTGTGTGTTGAACTGCTGTGTGTGTGTGGAACTGCTGTGTGTGTGTTGAACTGCTGTGTGTGTGTGTGTTGAACTGATGTGTTGTGTGCGTGTTGAACTGCTGTGTATGTGTGTGTTGAACTGCTGTGTGTGTGTTGAACTGCTGTGTGTGTGTGTGTTGAACTGCTGTGTGTGTGTTGAACTGCTGTGTGTGTGTGTTGAAATACTGTGTGTGTGTTGAGCTAATGTGTGTGTGTTGAACTGCTGTGTGTGTGTGTGTTGAA